ACCATCAACCCACTCGTTTGATTCACGAGCGTGTTATGACGAGCAGAATGAATGCATAATGCAGTCACGCTGCGGAGACACTAGTAATAGGACAGGGTCAGATTTGCATCCTGGTGAAGAAACTGGGGATCCTTTCCTCTGATTTCTGTGGAAATTGCTGTGGGTCTTTGATCCTTATCAACAGAAATATCTTGGTTGACACGTTATTGTGAAGACTATACTAGGAACGCAGGCCAAAACTGACAGATTTGCTCACTTGTAACATAGACAAACTCCTGCTCACTAAACAAATAGTTTGACCGATATTAGAGTATGTACAAACTAAGATTTCTTTTTTTTGTTATGTTCTCCTCTTAACAAAATTCTACTGAAGGAACAAGGACATAAAGCAAAGTTTACCGTGGAATACCAGCCATGGATATAGCAAACTCAGGATCTGTCTGACTAGATTCATCATAGCTATAGCTGTGGTTTTCTGGCTTATTCTTTAATGAAAAAAGTGTCATAAAAATAAACCAAACTTACATTCCTTGCGCATGCATATTTCCATTGACTTCACTGTGGGAATTTGACCCTCAGTGTGTATACATATTATTAAACTGAAATTCCATTAGCAAATTAAATAATCATGCATTAAAAGGAAGACAAGAGTTAGAGACTGGTTTTCTTCTATAAATTTGCCAGCTTGCTCTGGCAAAGTGAATGTTCAGACGCAGGTCAGAGACTGGATCAACAAAAACCTCAATTAACAGAAGAAAGGTCATGCAGTGTATAGGGAAAGGCATATTCAAAGACATGCAAATACCAGAAAGCTTGGACACTGGCAGAAAAAGAAGAGTAAAATGGGGTAAGCAGGTCAGAAGGGCTGCAAAGTATATTCTTAAATGTAGCTGAGGTGAAGTAATTAGTAGGAGAGTTTGGCCCACAGATCTTGAGAAACTGAAGCTCCCGTTGGCTTCAGTGACTATTACAAGTGAAAATTCATTACAGCATAGTGTTTTTTTAACGTATGGTGCATTTCAAACTGTTAAATTTTGGTTACCTGCAACTCTTTCAATAAATGTGGGAAACAAGCACGAATAGCAAAAGCAATGAAGACTATTACTTTCAGAGTATCACCACCCACACTAAATCTACCTCTTACTGCATTTTACAGACAATATTATAGTCATAATGTGGAGTGGTTAGCTTTACGGGGAAATGTTTGAAACAACAGGAATGAATACAGTAAAATATATGTGAAAAGGAAGTAAGAAAACACCTTTTGAGCAGTTATTGAAGAAATGGTATTTGGCAGTAACCGCTGGAGGAGTAAAGTTACCAACTTTTCAGTAAAAATAACAGGACAAAGCAAGAGGAGCACAAGAAATGATAATAAAAACAGGCAACCATTTTATGTCTGCGCAGGTCATGTGTGTGCCCAGCGTGTCTCTAACCTTTGATATGAACAACAACAAAAAAGAAAAGAATTAAGGATATGCATAGTAAACAGTATTAACACCATTGGCTTTGTGCAGGCATTCGTTATTTTCCTGTTACCATTGTCATACAGTCGTTGTTGTAGATATTGGCTTATTTTAGCACTGATCAGCCATGTACCTCACCAGCATGACTGATCGACAGTTCACAGAATTGATGGATGTCAATGCCCTTCTGGGAATGTGCCCTGTCACTGCTGTTTCTGTCATCTTCTCAGCAATAGCCCCTGGCTGGATACTGAGAGAGCACTGGATGGTAAACACTTTGAAACTAATTAATTTGAGGAAGTGGAATACTTAATTTGTATTGATTGTGCAAATGCCATTGCTCTGCTCTTCAGCAGCCCTCTCCAGAATGTCATATGAAGTTCTGTTCATTACCGGAGAAATAAATGTAAAGTCAGAATAAAAAGCAGTGGAACTACAGAGATTATTTAGGTTTTCACCTCTTAGTTGTGATGTAACTCAATCCTAATTAAATCAGTAGTGAATGAGAATCATCAGCACCTAAATGTCATTTCTGCCCTCAACCTATATTCTCGGACTAGTTTCTAGTCAGTAGAAAACTGATTTCACAAGAGAATTTAAAATATAGTGATGATAATATTCTGAGGCCTCATTTTTTTTGTGTGTGAAATAGACACTGGAAACCTGGCCATCTCCTGCGAAAGTGAAGGGGGTAGCACAAGAGATACTAGATTAAACCCAGGCGAAATGTCCTAATCTTACAGGAGGCAGCTGGGAGTTGACTCAATTTGATTCTAAATTGCAACTTCATACATACACCCCAAAACCCTTCTCTTTAACACCACTGCGTATTCTAAAGAGTCATAGAAAAAGATGTTTCTATGATTCCAAAGAGTCATAGAAAAAGAAAAAAAAATTACTACTTCCCTGCATAGCTATGCCTGGTCCTTTTAAGTTGAAGTGAAGATGGTTATGTAATTTACTCTTGGCCATAATAAACATTAGACTCCAATGTTATTATCGGTCATTTTCATGAATGTTAGAAAACAAAAGAAAACATCAAACACCATCTGTAGATGTGAATGTTCTGAACTCTGCAACAGAAGAATCGTTTCTATTCCAGTTTAAACTGACTAGCTATGTGACTGACTGATCTTCTTTCTATTTACATCAGTTTCACATTTGTGTAACTCTCTGACTTCAGCAGATACTTCTCTTTATGCCACAGTCACAAAGGGCAGAATCACACCTATGAGAGTTCAGACTAAGAAAGAGGAAAAAAATTATGAGGGTTTTTGACAGCTATATTATAAGAAAAATTAACAGAAACAGATGACAGCAAAGCATTTCTAGCCAGGAGAGATCTAAGACAAGTTAAGCAATCAATCATCTGCATCACTCACTATTCAGCAAAGAGACGTTCAACATCTGAATCAGTCATTACAATGTAAAGAGAATTAGTAAAGTCTCTAACAAAATGCAAATAAGTGAACTGGAGGACAATACAGTCAAATTCTAAAACTTGGCAGGAATCCAGAAGAATTATTTTGACAAGACTGCTTGGGGTGATTTGATTTCTTCTTGTTACATAAAAAAAACGAGAGAGAGAAAGAGAGAGAGAGAGAGAGAGAGAGAGAACTTAAGTCCTGAGTACAAGTAGAACAAGTTTTAAAAAGTGTACTGCAGTATAAATGTGTATAGTCACATTCAATCAGAAAAATCCTAGAAAAGAGAACTACAGTGCATTCTCTGGCACTTTGTTCCACTCCTAGGTGGGCGAGCTCTTTTTGATGCTATTGAGACTTTGTCCAATTAAGTGCAAAGAATATAAATCTAGGCTGAATGTTATACATCTTCTAAGTGTTATCTTATCTTCCCTGAATACGTTGCCTATCCATTGTAGAATATCAACCAGAGATCTTCTTCAAAATTCACCCAGTATATATGAATATAAAATATAGATTTAACACCTACGTGACTACTAAGTCGGAGCTAATGAAATTCTGTAAAAGTATACGTATTGCTATTATGTAGATCCAAAAGAGACAAAAGACGCCTGACATCTTCCATGTTCTAGTTAAAGGAAAAGAAGGAAAAAGGGGCAAGAAAGGAAAATAAAGCAGAACCAACTTCTGTTAAAAAAAGAGCTTCACCTTGATTTTTGTCAGCACAATGAGTACACTTAGACTAATGTTTGAAAATGGAAGAGAGTAATCTTATTCAATACCAAAAAGAGAAAGTCAAAACCTGCATTGTTAGGCAAATTCTGAACATTTTGAAGCTGTTTTGACAGGAGCGATACACACCCGTGGCTTGCACGTATGGCATAGCACCATACATATTAGCTGTCTGAAGGTCTGGCTGTGCCCTCTAGCAGTCTTTTCCTCGATGCCGTTATGTTCACTCCCTTCCCCATCTTCCTCCTGGGTCCTGGCCCGGGACGCGAGGAGGTGCGTTGGCATCAGTGGAACTGCTCCTGCACTTAGAGGCGTGCGTTTGCTCCGCTGCCTCGTAAAGTCGGGGCTTGAACCCGGGGCTGGCATCCAGCCCTGCTGTTACAGAGGATATTCTCTATGTCCCCAGCCTCTCCCTGCTGCAATCCCAGCACCAGGTAGGATTTGTCATATCACAGGGAAAGTTTTTTTTTTTAATCTATGAATTGCTAGTGTAGACATGCCTTGAAATGATAGAGTGGATTTGGCTCTGGTCCTGATATGGAGGTAGGTAGATGAGAATGAGGAAAGAGAGTTTTCACAAAGGTTGTTCCTACTAAATAATACAGTTGGTATTATTTTATGGGGAAAAATATTTTTAAGTAGTTGCAGGGAAATGTGTGCGTCTTTGTTGATGTTTGTGAATAGTTTGGAGGATTCTGTGGATCCTTGTGCAAAATTTCCTGTTTTTGGCAAAGTTCAATGCCTAGGTGATGAATATGAGAACTAGAAAAAAATTCTAGAGTTTAAGCAGAAGCAAAAGTAACTTACCTAGTTTTATTCTTGTGATGGATAAGTACAAAATTCCAAATAAGGGAACAACATGCTGTCGGTGTCAGTAAACTGGGAATACGTGTAAGGATGAATTGTACATGTTTTTTATCTCACCAACTGGTCATTTTTTTTCTCCTTTCTCACAGTTTATAGGTCTATATGAAATAGTTTTTTTATGCTGGAAATATGAGATTTTGTGTTTAGATATGGTTTATATCAGCCGGTCATCCTCAAGTTGATGCTTGAAAATCTCATTGATTGAACAAAATTGAACTTTGTCCAATACTTGATGAGTTCCATGGATAGAATTTACCACCTAAAACTTCACACAAGATTCTCATTGATTTTATTGGTGTTTTGACCTTCCATTGTATAGAGCTGAATGTCACTGGCAGTTTGGGTTTGGGTACTGGAAACAATAACAGTCATAGGTCGAAGTACAAAAAGCTTTCACTGGTTTTGACTCCATAAATCTAAACTGCTAAAATGAAATCCATACAAAGTCAGCATATTAGTCTGTATATCACTTAACCGTATTAACATAGAAAGCATTACCTTTATCTTACAGAAATGTTGGAATCCAACAATATAATCAATTTCAATGGGCTAGTTAATAGCTCCAGTTACCACACTTTCCTCTTGGATGAAGAGCGGAGTCGACTGTACGTTGGAGCAAAGGATCACATATTTTCTTTCAACCTGGTTAACATCAAAGAATATCAAAAGGTAACTTGAATCATGGTTTATATAAAGTAAATGTGCACTTTTAACGTTGTACAATTGTTATTACCCAGACTGCGTTGGGCACTATTTGAATCGCGTAGTAAGTGTTCTGTTACCAGGGATGCTATACGGCTAAACAACAAACCAAACCAAACCAAACCAAACCAAAAAAGCTGACTCTATGAAGTGAGATTGATAATGAGTTTATAATCTATAGTTATATAATCTACAGCACTTTTTTCAGATTGCAAAAAAGTAATTGAGAAGTAATACAGTAGCTCTTAGCAATTATAAGTATATAATCTGGCCGTTTTCCGAATGAGACATACTTTCATGTTTGCTGCTAAATAAAACAAAGGTGACAGTTATGATAGCTTACAGAAAAAGGCCTTATTACTCTGTATTTGTTACAGGTAAAAAGAAGCGCTTTGAGAGTGTGAGTGCTGATATCTGTTCTTTAACACAGCACTGTGTTTCTGCTGCTCATGAGCCATAACAGATTACAAATTGATTAAAGAGCAACAGATTCATAAAAACTTGCTGTTCTTGATGGAGAGTGTAATTTTCCAGTAAAAGCTGGAGACAGATTAGAAGCTGACAAACAGTTCAATGACGTTCTGGAGTATGCTTTTGTTTGAGTCTAAATAAATCATTTGAACTTTTCATTTATTTTAATGAGGCAAAATGCTTAGAAGGCAAACAGTGAGATGGAGTTTTGATTTGTTATATTTAAGTATTTTGATGGTACATTTTAAAATGGAGAGCCTACCCTTTTATGGGAGATATATTGCTTCAATACTCCGGAATTTTTTTCCTTGGTGCTCCTGACCTTTTGCCCGTTTGACTATTAGCTTCCTAAGATGATAGCAATAAATACCTTGTGTTTTCTGTTCAGGGGGAAGACAGGCTATTCATTTGTATTCTCTAAGGAAAAAAGATAAAAGGAAAACCGGGTATTTTCTTTTCTATTCTCTTTAGAGAGGCTATAAAGGAAACTAGCTATTTATTTGAATTCTCTGAGGGATTCATAGTTTAATGTGAAAAACATCTGGAATAATTAACAGAAGGAAGGTGTTTCCATTGTAGAAAACAGTTCTGCAGAATGGGAGAGATTGTAGCTTACATATTTCAGTATTCAAATACCATTAGAACACTCTCTGAAATTATACACAGGTAGTATTACAATAAATAAAGGATTGCTGTTGGTGGCATGGAGCTGAATGTTCAAAACTGACTTAAGAATAAGCTTTAAGTCTTATATTTAGACTCTGGACTTAAGAATAAAAAAGTACTTCAAGAATTTAGGGATCAGCTTAGTAAAGAAAGGAGGGTCACTAAAGAAATTTAGAGCAAAATCGCAATGTTGCCAGGGCTTCCCGTGAGCTAGAACTTCACCAGTTGCTGCTGCCACCATATTGAAAAGAACTGAGGTTTCTATATAGTTGCAACATATGACTCCACAGGAGGAGCAGCACTCAAAAAGCCAGATTTGCCAGTGTATTAAGAATGGTGCAGTTCAGCTCTTTAGCTCTAGAAATAAAAAAAAAAAAAAAAAAAAGAGAAAATATTGCTGTGTGACAACAAAGAGCACATTTAACCATTCATTTTCTAGATTAAAATATTGGTTTGAACAATATAGAAATCTTTACCTAAAACTTGAACTGAACTTGAACTGGTCCTTTTGGGAAATCTGAGAAGTTTGGTTAATGTTTTTCAACTTAGTAAATTTTAATTTTCACATGTTTCTGCACATTTTAAGCCAAGAGTAGAAGCAGGAAGTAGCAGGAATCCTTTGAGAGAGAATGTGCTCATAAAATTTTCAGCCCTATTTTATAGACTTAAGAGGTTTGATTTCTGTTTGGATTTCATAATATTGTAAGAGAATTCTGGATTTAAAGATGCTGTTGCAATCTTTACTTTAAAAGACATCTATAACATCTCCTCCATCCTCTTCTGCCATCTATATTCTTTATTTTTCCTTTTTAAATACTTTCCCTTTTACTTTCTTTTAACAAACTGTATTGAACACCAAGGTTATAATCTAGACTTATGGCCATTCATATTGCATTATCTGAGGCTCCCAAATGAATAGCCTGGCATTTTATGTGAAGATCATGTTTTATTCTATATGTAATTCCTAAAAGCTTTTCAGAAAACATGAATAATTGACTGTGAGGGTCTCTGGGTTTTCTCTGTATGAGGTGAGATACATTTTCTACTAAGCAAACACCATAATAAACTCAGTTTTAAGATTACTTATGTTAGAGTACCTCTGTAGGAACAGCATCAGCATTCCTACTTTGACAGTATGATACTTTTCAAATACCGCAGTTTCTATTTTTATTATTTAATGAAGACTCGTAAAATGGTAGATACATTGAAGAGGCAAACACCTCATTTATGATGCTATAAGCCTAATGTGAGATTGTATTTCACATAGATCAGATTTATTGTTAGTATCTGCAATTTTTTGCTTTCAGTCTCCATTTCATTGTATCAGATTTAAAGCAGTGGAAGAACACTCCCATGACATAATGGAGAATCAACCCTCTTATCATTTCATTGTATCAGATTAAAAAACAGTGGAAGAACACTCCCATGGCATAATGGAGAATCAACCCTCTTATCATTAGTATTCAAGAATCACTGCTGAGATTCACAATACAGACTGTATTTCCAGATTGTTTTTGCAGTGATTCCTACCATCCTAATTTTTTTCCTATCATGTCATTTCTTTATTGTCAAATTTTATGGAAGAAAAGGAAAAAAAAGAAAGGAAAGGGAAAAACAGAAACCGGGTAAAGATACTCCATAGCATTTGATCTGCAATTCATGATTATTGAAGGATGAAATAACATAACGTGATTTTTGTTCTGTGTCTTTAGATTGTTTGGCCTGTATCTCATTCCCGAAGGGATGAGTGTAAGTGGGCTGGAAAAGATATTCTGGTAAGTACAAATCTTTTTAACATTTTTTTTCTTTATAAAACATTTTAAATATTTTATTGTGCCTCACTGTGTTAATTCTTAAAGTATTTTTCCTCTTCTGTAAAGTCACTTGCCTGATCATAATATCGGACTTGAGTGACCTCAGCCTTTTCTTGTTATTCTAAATAATGAATCTTTACATTTATAATCAGAGGTTTAAATTCATAAATAAAATAAATAAAATTTAATTACCCCCCCAAACCCCCCCAACTCAATTTCTGTTCTCAAGAAACAGGGAGGAAGAGAGACACCAGAATGAGAAATATTAACTCTTCCATAATTCTCTCTTGATCTCAGGGTACTTAAAATTTTGACATATTTTTACACTGTTCCAAGTCCCAGTCCTTTAGTGAGTTCCAAGCAGTCATTTCTCTCTGTGGCATCTCACCAGGGTCAGTGGGTTTCCCTAGGCTTTTTCCAGTATAAAGTTCATTGCAAGATTGAGGTCAAAGTGTTTTTAACTTTCTGCATCGATTTTAATGCCCTAGGAAAGACACAGTGTATATTCAAATGTACATCTCAGTCACTGTATTTATGAAGCAGGATTATATAGCCAGTAGACCCCAGATAACAGCCATTCTGCACTACTAATGTCTGTCTTCTGTATAAGAACAGCATGGGAAATGGAAGGCGAGAGCTGGAGAAGGAAAGGAGGGAGAAAAAATATACATGCAATAAGCCAAACAAATACTTGCACAGAGGAGCCAAATGGGAAATTATTGTGATTGCCGAGGTATAACTGAAAGTGGAACTTGGCCCCATGTGTATATGTTATTGGCCTGATTTTCAGAGATGATTCTATAAAATATTCATAATGCCAACCATTTGCCTCTAGAGAACTCCATTTGAATAATTTCCTAGGTCATAATAAAAATAGGTTCATTGGTCTTTACCTAGGCCATAGAGGACAGTTGTCTTCATGAAAAGCCGGCCGGGAACAGTAAAGGTAGATTAGGCGAAAACTAAGAGATATGGGCTGAGCCTATATATGTGAAGGGGCAGATAAAGTACTTCGCTATAGCAAGAGCTATCTCATCAAATTGCAGTAATATGTTTAATTTAATCCTTCTTCATGTTCACAAATAATTTTCAGGAGTGCATGACAAGGTGAGGATTAAAATATCTAATTTTCAAGGTTAAAAAAAATAAGGCTAGTTTTAAATGTCTGAACAAATTAACTAACCTTGCAACCTGATCTTACACTTTTTGTGATATTACATTAAGTAGATTTTTTACAGCCTGAGCTGAAACCTGGAAAATTAATAAGAGATACAGCACTGAGACAGAAAGTATACTCTTTTAATTTTTTAGTACTTATTTTTAGAAATTCAGAATAATAAACAAAGAGTATATTTCATACATTGCAGTAGGCTGATTTCAATCTATTTGTAATAAATGGAGCCATTTTATTATTCTGGAGTGATCTGGGAAGTTCAGGTCCCTACCATATGACTGCTGTAAGTCTGAGAGGACTATTTGTGCCATAACAAATGTTTACACCTGTAATCTTTTGCTTCCTCGAACATCAGGCTGCTACACCTGCTGATCACGAGGGAGAGGGGAATGCAATGCCATGCTCCCATGCTGTGTATGACCCTCGTGCGTTAGCTGCTTGCTAGCACCGAAGGACGTAAGAATAAGGCAGAGCAGGAGCATCAGGACACAGTGCAGCCCAAGCTGCGGATAGCACAGCAAAATATTTCTAGTACCAGCTACTTTGTTTTGGAAAACATTTTTTGGATACATGAATGATTGGGCTTTGTGTTTTGTTTTTTGTTTGTTTTTCTCCCTAAATTTTAAGACTTCTTTAGAAGTGTAGATAATAAATAAAGAATATATTTAACGTGGGTCCAGTTTTGGTAGGCAAGCTAGAAAGATGGAATATGCGCCTCGATGTGTTTAGGTCACCATCTTTAAATATCTATAGCTACCTGTTCTTGCCATTAAACAATGCATTAAAAACAAAGTATTTAATGCAGGTGCTTTAACAGTAATTACAGATAAAGATTACAGGTCATTTAAGAAACTTAGTATTCTTCCCTCATTTATTCCTTAAAGCCATTGACAGTACCTTGGGAGTATGAAATATAAAGGCCATAAAAATAATTCAACAGCCTCTCATTAGAGAGAACAAGGGAAATAGAGGACAAATAAAGTGGCATATAAAACACGCTTGATTTAATATTGCTTTCAACATGTACCACTGCTAAGGTATTAGATATTCTTCATTTGTGATAGTTCAAAACTTTATTAAATGATAGTCCATACCTTTATATGGAGGTCTTTTTTAAACTCTCTTAATTATTGATCCCCAGGGGAAGCCAGTGGTGAAAATGCAAGACCCCACTAATAGTCCAGGTGCAGTGCAGCAGCTGCAGTGTGAGTGTGACCCTGCCTTTGCCCCACTGCTAACCTCAGACGCGACCGGAGAGATTTCCTCTCGTAATTATAAGAAGTAATTTACTGTAGTCTTTACTCCTTCAGAGGGATCCCTTAAACTGGCACTGTCAGTCATGGCAATCCAGGCAGAGCTGATCTCTGAAGCTCCCTAGAGTTCACGCAGGATTTTGAGGAGGGCAGGCAGCTTAAAACACCCTCACGCTGATGACTTCCCTTTGTTCCTTAAGCAGTCATTTTCATTTTTCCAGTGCTTAGTATATGTGGATTAGTTAAGCTTTGCTTGCTGTGTAGGTAGATGAACCTTTTGAAGTAGGCTTGGAATCTCTTTCATATGGGTAAGACGAGGAGAGGAGAGGCTGGACGACTTACCTACACCGTACAGTACTTACAGCAGGACTTCTTGGACAAAAGTTAGCTGCTACACTTTCCCTGAAATATAGATATTTTTTGCAATAAAATCATAATTACTGCCTCATGCAAGAACTTAGTCTTACAATATATTTCCAAAAACCTCAGTATACAACATGGCAAGTACCAAAGTAATCTTATTAATGAAAAATTAGCAACTATTAATAATAGACAAGGTAATTGCTCATGTAATTCAACTAAATGATGATTTCTTGTTAGTCTGGACCTCACTTTTAAACAGGCTCTCTTCTGTGATCAGTTGTGGTTGGTGTAAGTTCTGTGAACGTCCCTTGTGATTGCTGACCAGACGTTGATAATGACCGAAGAAGAGAGTGCCTCTGCAGAATGTTTCTGAATTTTTATACTGAACTTTACAGTACAGACAAACTTATAGTTATATCCCTCACTAGTGAGCATCAATATTTTGATTTTTAAGATTTTGCATAAGCAGCTATGAAAAAAATACAGCTACGGTTTCACGGTGACATTCCAGGGATATCATAAACCAAGAGAGTGAAGCTTGAATGATTAACAAAAGTTACCAGAAGCACCAGTTAGTTCTGCAGGTAGGGACAGGGAAATGAGCTCGTTGACCGGAAAGCTCATCTAGTCCTTAACTATGAATTTACTGAAGTTTTAAAAGTTTTAGCTACATTCAGCTGTATTGTCTATTGGCCGCTGTATCTGGTTGATACACCTCCGTGCGAGATTTGGCTGAGGCACCATAGCAGTAGCTCATGTGGTACACGGTTAATCCCTGCTAAAGGAGATGATGGAGTTTCCATGACCTGAAGGCTTTAAAGATGTGCTTCTGAAGGGCATCTTAGGATGTTATTTTCAATTGTGATTTGAATATCTAATTTATTTAGCCACTTTGAAAGATCCTAGCTCAAATTAAATTGTTGAAATGGTCCTTTTGGGCCTTGGCATCTGTAAGTCTTTTCCATACACTCCCTCACATGAACAAACAGATCCATAAAAAGAGTTTCATGTCGTTCCACTTACTAGCTAAACCGTTGCCAGTAATGTGGAATCAGTTCACAGCAAAAGCCTTTTCACAGTTAAAAAGAAGCAACAGACTCTTTACGCTATATAATACAGTCATATTCAGTGTATTCTTCTTTATATTTAAGTGTGTTTGCACTTAATATTTGAGCTTATGGCTCAGGTGGATAGAATCTGAGGTCTGTAATTCAGCTCACAGTCTCATTTGTACAATATAGTAGTTAATGTAAGCCAAAACAGTCATATATCATTTCAGTTTTGGCTTCCCTTAAAGTTTTCCAACTCCTCCCTCCATCATAGAAACATTATCTACTCCAAAGGGTGCTAGAGCCCTCGCTCTGGAATGATTATAGACTCGTATGATTGCAAAAAAGAAAAAGTAGCACGTAACTTACCAGAAGTCCCTCAGCCCTATCTGGTGATACTTTGGAAAAATGAAATTGGCAATAAATGAGCACTATTCCCTTTAACTCATTTTACTACTGTTGTTGCCTTAGGAAAAACTGAAAAAGGTAGAGGCACAAAGTGAAAGTAATTCCTTTCATGTGTTATTGTAAACAAAGATCTGAAGAAGAATCTGAAAATTAAATATATAATGCCTGCTGATTCTAGAAAAACCTACTCCTAAATTAATCTGATCAGGCATAGTTTGTCAGGTCAAATTACTTCTGGCCCCTTGTATGCGCCCTTTCTTTCATACGTCTCCCTTTGGAGGACATCTACAGCTAGATTTCCAGCTTTGCTATCACAAACCCTCCCTGCGCTCACCATCTCCATTTTGCCTCCCTTTGTGTCCATTAGAGCACTGAAATCCTTTGACACAGCAGTAAAGACCCAGACCCTGCCATCTAGCCTGGGGAAAGGAAAAGGTGTATATCCTCGGGAAATAGGAAGGGGTAAGGTGAGCAAGAAGTCCAAAGCGATGAACCTCAAGTGAGGACGGAGACAGAATTTATTCTCAGTATTATCCTATAGCAAGGAGAAACGTGCCTTCTGAGCTATTTGTGGACAAACAGTATCACTGCTTATTCTTTTAAACTATATCACCTGTCCCAATTAGCAAATTTGGAAGAAATTATTAGCTTGGGCTCTGCTCACTCCTTACGCTTGTCTGTGATTTTTAACATGGACATGCTTTACTACCAAGG